GCCGCCAATGGGCCGCCGCTATTCGTGACATCCGTGAAGCCGATTCATCCAAAAACAGGAGCTAATCGGATCAAGTACAAGTATAAAGTGCAAGTCAAGAGAGGCAAACTGTGTGTACCAGCGCCTTTTGACAGCGGAGAGTGGGTTTGGCTTCACGGATTGCCATTGCTTCGGCTGTGGCGAGCACCCATTTGCGCAAGCCTTTAGGGTAGTGTGTTGGTGCCTGGTATATGACTTGAAAGGCCTCACTTGCGTCAACTTAGTGGTTCGTATCGATCAAGTATGCTAGGATTGAGCTTGAGAGCGCTCGATTTTCTCATTTCCCGAGGCAGGTTCGTATCCGTTTGCGTACCCTCTTCTCCAGACGTCGCGTTGTTCGGCTATTATATCCCGCTCCACAGGAGCAGGCGTAGTTATAAATGCACATGGATGTGGCCTGCAACGGTAGTCGGTCTTCAGCCCCCATCCGTAGAAGGGGACATTTGATGAAGAATACGCGTAAGTTTACCGCCGGAAATGCATTCGTGATTGCTGTCCTCAGACGTTGACCTACCAGTTCGCTTGCTGCGGTTCCTAGAAAAGGCAGCCATATGAATAAATTTTTCTTTTCTGCCGTTGCAACGGCAGCCTTTTTGGCACACTCCTTGACGTTTCGGAGGATAAACCTTTTGGGAGAACCATTTTGGTGGAGTATGTTCTGTTGCTGCAACAATTCTACTTCCACTATTTCAGGTGAGTAGAGGCCTCGTATGCTAGATGCCAATCCCACTCCTTTGAGAGTAAGGGGAACTAAACTGTTAAAATTAATAAATTGCCCCATCAAGTTTTTCTTTCTAAATATCCGGCGTTGTAGTAAACCATCCTCTTGTCTGTGTAAGAGGACATCTAGGAATAAATTATTGCTAATATTAGGTCAGATCTGTGTGGGCAAACCCAACACATCCACTGACTTCCTGATTTTGCAAAGTGCGTGAAGAATAAGTCAGAAAACTCTAACCTCTGTGATAGAGTGAATTTACCGACGCATTCCCGACATCCCTCGGGATGTTTTGCCATCATGCTAAATAATTAATCAAACTGCAGTCCGAAAAGAGCCGTCTGCAAAACCGATGCATCAGACTACACTGAGCGTGCCCTAGAGAAAAAAACGGATGTCCAACGCGCGATCTCCCGATAGCTCCAGCAGCCCTAGCACGTGATCGAGCTTGGCAAGGCCTGCAGCTCGACGGGGGGCAAAAGTTGCTTCACAGAAATGCTAAGCCTACGCCCTCCTGATTGTGGCTATGCAAGGAAAACTAATAGAACAGAAAAGACAACTACCTTCGTTGGGCAAATATTACCCCATTGCTGACCTCTAGGCGAACACCAACGGTAAAACAACTTTTCAGCACACAGTACATGTGCTACCTCATGAAGTATTAACAGATATTCTGAAATGAATTTTCCATCAGGAAACATGTATTTCCGTGTGACATAATCAGCAGATATTTCGATCATCTCTCAGACATATCTCTAGGTTCTGAAAGATAGTCTGCACCACATCTTGAAATGGTCTTTGGCCAATAGTCTTCTACTGAATGACCAGAAGTCAGTCCAATGCGTTTTCCCAGTCCTGAAATACCTAGACATCCTGTTCGACGAGGTATTCTCATTTCGGTACCTCGGTGTTACTCCAACACCTCATTTGTCACCTACGCTTCATACTGAAACCCTCTTCAGCAAAATTCGTGAACTTCTAAATGTTATATGCGCCGGTTGCGTCCATATCACAAACTTCACGTCCTAATTTCTCGATGGTTACATTCTCCCCCACTCATTCGCTACCGCTCTCCGGTTATTTTTCCACTCTTGAACAACTTGGTGATTTTTTTTTAAAATATTCTAGGAATGCTCGCATCAGCTGCCGATATTTCTTAGGCTATTTTAACCGATATTATAATACAGGGACACTTTAAATGGTCAAGATATTTGCTTATCGCATTCCTAGTGAGGTTGCCCATCCACTCCATTGCTAATACAAGCGAATATGCGAGTCCCAGGAAGTAATTGAGAAGTAGAAGACGAATCGATCACT